TACTGACAGTAACTTACAAGATATAGGTATAGGAAAGGGCTTTCTTTAAACCCGACATCAGTTGCTCAGGAAATAAGGTCAAGAATCAACAAACGGGACTTCATTAAACCAGAAAACTTCTGTACATCAAAGGAAGCAACCAAGGAAGTGAAGAGAAAATCCACAGAATGGGAGAAAAACTTCACCAGTGACAAATCTAACAGAGGTTTAACATCTAGAATATATAAGGAACTCAAAAACAAAGAATCCAGAAACCAAATGACCCAATTAAAAGATGGGCTAAAGATCTAAACAGAACGTTCTCAAAGGAAGAAATAAAGATGGCTAAGAAACATTTCAAAAAGTGTTCAACATCGTTAGTAATTAGGGAAACACAAATTAAAACCACCCTAATGTATCACCTTACCCCAATCATACTGGCTAGAATCAAGAGAACAAATGATACCAAATGCTGGTGAGGATGTGGAGAACTACCCACTACTGGTGGGATTGCAAACTCGTGCAACCCCTATGGAAAACAGTGTGGAGAACTCTTTAAAAAACTAAAAATCAACCTATCATATGACCCGGTTATACCACTCCTTGGCATATACCCAAAGGATTTATCCTACTGTAGAGGCACTTGTACAACCATGTTTGTTGCTGCTCTTTTCACAATAGCTAAGAGATGGAAGCAACCTAAGTGCCCCTCAACTGATGAGTGGTTAACAAAAATGTGTTATATTTAAACAATGGAGTTCTAGTCAGCAGTAAAGAAAAATATTGAAATTTGCAAGTAAATGGATGGATCTAGAAACTAAGTGAAGTCACACAGACTCAGAAAAACAAATGACGTATGTTCTCCCTGATATGTGGATCCTAGCACCAAATCCTTTTAAATTCCAGGTCCTTTTAATAAGATGATGCTATATAGAAGTCCCTTCTGCATGAAATAACTACCAACATCATGACTTCAGCTGTGCCTGATCACTAAACATCGTCACGATTAGGCTGTTGACAGCTGTGCTCATTCATTAAAGGAGGGCCAAGCAGGGTCATTGGACCCTCACCAGATTATCCAGCCACTCTTCCCAGCCAACTGTATTTAATTTGGCCCTAATCACACATGGCCTCCTGAATTTGGGGAGGGGTAAAGTATACAATCTGGGGAAGGCTAGGAAGAGAAGGCATAACCCATGATGGGTAAAGGCTTTCCAGTGTGCATACCCTCAGGTAATACATACACACCTCAGCAACCCCTCAGTTATCTTGGTAAGTAAGCTCAATAAATTCATTGGTTTCCCAGTAAAACTTTAATCAAACATTGGTTCAACACTAAAACCTTAAAAGGAAATAAGCACTGCTTAGCATCCCCAGGAAAAGAAGTCTCATAACAGATGGAAAATTTGTTAATGCTATTATGTCTCGTAATTATTAAAAAAAGAGAGAGAGAATGTAAAAGATGTTAAACGGATATGGGAATGGAGATATTTTCCAAAATAGATGGAAAAAAATGAGAAAGCCTAAGCAAGTGATGAAGGTCTGTGTAGGTTTGTTATGATAAAGGATGAGACAAATTTCTATGGTCATAGTTTAGTCAACTAGTTTAAGGAATAAAATATATATCTAGTCAAGGTTTATCTGAGAATTTTTGGTTTTTTACCCAAGCCTTATCTACATAGCACATGATAATTAAAAGTACCAGATTGGTGAAACTAACTTTATTGGATGTTTAACAGCCACACTTTGAGGCCTATACTAATGTGGTCAGAGGGACTTAAAGGGCAGTTTTTGCCCCTTGCCCTCCAAGGTTGACTAAGTTCCAGGGGACTATGGAACATCACTCAAAATGTCCTGTAACTGTGATGGGGCACCTGTGGTCTTGTTCAGGGGGTACATGGAGACCCCATGAGATGGAATTGAACCAGTGTTCGGTCTACAAAGAGGAAGATCAACTCAGAGAAAACATCTCATTCATGTTCCCAAGTGAAGCCAGACATGGTGAAGCAGGACCTTTGACTTACCTTCACATAGATGGAACTGGTAAAAGAAAGGAGCCAGGAGTTCCTCCCAAGCCCATGTGACCC